GTCGACAACGACTTCCACGCCATCATCTTGGGCTCGCTCCCAGAATCCTACCGACCACTCCTATCCTCCATCAGCGCAGCGGCTAGGATAACCAAAACTCCGATCACCTCCTACGAGCTAATCAGCATTGTGACCGAAGAGTATGAGCATCACCTACTCACCGAACGTCGTCCCACCAAAAAGGGAGCCTCTGGCTCCGCCCTCTCCGCAAGAGAAACAAAAGGAAAAGGTAGAGTGTCAGCAGGCGCCACCAAAGCCAGTCCGGACGTCACCTGTTTTAACTGTGACCGGAAAGGCCACTACAAGACCGACTGTTGGCGTCCGGGTGGTGGGAAGGAGGGACAAGGTCCCAACCAACAGAAGAGGAGAGGTGAGAAGGCGCCGAAGCAGGCAGCCAACTCAGCCACCCAGTCTGAGGCGCAGGACGACCAATATGCTTTCGTAACATCAGATTTAGCGAACGTAGCAGGGCAGTTGGACGTACCAGTGGAGAAGAGAGGAGCCATCGTAGATTCGGGTGCCACATCTCATTTCTGCCCAGACCGGGCCAAATTCATGAATTTCGTCACCATTCCACCCCAAGACGTGCACACAGCTGACGGCTCGACTCTAAGTGCCATAGGCCGAGGTGATGTTCAGATAGAGCTGCCAATGGGTCAGAAGCGCACGACTGTGACGCTGAAAAATGCGCTATACGCACCTAGGATGGCATTCACCCTTATCTCCACAAACAGGATAACGGCGGCTGGCCTAGCAGTCCTCTTCGAGGGACGCATGTGCCGGATCCTCTCCCAAGGGCCGAAGCGACATGTTATCGCCGAGATTCCGCAGCTGGAGGGACTCTACAGCGTCGTTGCGCGTCGTCAGACGCATCATGCCAATGTAGCAAGGCAAAAACTCACCGTAGGGAGCCTGCACCATGTCCTAGGACACACCTCCCAAGCAGCAGCCATGGACGCCGTGAAGAAGAGCCTCGTCACCGGTATAGAGCTGGACCTCGCATCCAAGCCTGAGTTTTGCGATGTCTGTGTGAAGGCGAAGTCAACGCAGAAACCCTACCCAGATGAGTCCAGTACGCGCGCACTTACCTATGGAGACTTAGTGCACACGGACCTGTGGGGACCTGCACAGACAACCAGTCTAAACGGGAGCCTCTACTACATCAGCTTCACCGACGACTACAGCAGGCAGACGAAGGTTCAGTTCTTGAAACTGAAGAGCGAAGCACTTACCGCCTTCAAGGCTTATGAAGCGTGGCTGGCGCGTCAGACGCCGGCCGTCACGCTTCGTAAAGTCCGTTCGGACAGAGGGGGAGAATATCTTAGCGCCGAATTCGACCTGTACCTCCGTCAGCAAGGCATTGAACGTCAGTTGACAGTCCACGACTCACCGCAGCAGAATGGTGTAGCCGAACGTCTGAACCGGACGTTGGTGGAGCACGCGAGGGCGATGTTGATAGGACGGGACCTACCAAAGTATCTGTGGGCAGAAGCCATCAACTACGCAGCATGGCTAAAGAACCGCTTACCTTCAAGGTCCATCCCCGGCACCACGTCCTACGAGCTGGTGCGAAAGTGCAAGTTGGATTTGTCGCGCGCCCATGAGTTTGGGGCGAAGGTCTTTGTGCACGTGCTGGAGGGTGGGAAGCTAGAGCCGAAGGCTGTAGAAGCCGTATTTGTGGGTGTAGACGCTGAAAGCAAGGGTTATAGGGTGTACTGGCCGGGGAAACACCGTGTATCGGTGGAGAGGAACCTCACCTTTGCACCGGCAGAGATCCTGGTGGATGCACTGGATGAGGGGGAGCCTACCGCTGTTAACGAACATAACAGCGGCAACAGTAATAATAATAACTTACCTCATAGCGTCCAGCCCATCACCACTACCTTGCAGCAGCAACCTCAACCATCTACCGCCCAGCAACCTCAACCATCTACCGAGCAGCAACCTCAGCCATCTACTCCTCCAAGGACCACGAGGGCCAGACCTCCTCCAGGCTACTATGCGAGCCTGAACGAAGGCAGCAATGCAGTGGCCATAGCGATGGAGAACCTGTTGGAAGCGTCAGAGGTAGATTTAGTGGACGAAGAGACTCACCTTCAACTTGCCTTGGCAGTTGCCCAACCAGAGACCACCTTGCAGCAGGCGTTAAACGGACCGGATGGAGTAGAGTGGCAAGAAGCTGTTGATTACGAGATTAGTCAACTTGAGAAGTTGGGGACGTGGGAAGTAGTAGACTTACCTCGTGGCACTAACCTCATCCCCTGCCATTTTGTTTTGGCCACGAAATGTGGACCCGACGGCGAAAAACTCAAACTGCGGGCACGACTCGTTGCCAACGGCCAGAGGCAGCAATTCGGTGTCGACTACTTCGACACGTTCGCGCCGACAGCCAACATGAGCACCATACGCACCGTGCTGACAATGGCGGCTCAGAACGACTGGGAGATCCACCAGGTCGATATAAAAAGTGCGTACCTGTATGCCAGTATCCAGGAGGAGATTTACATGCGCGCGCCACCCGGCTATCTCACGGAGAGTCAGTGAGGAAAGGTGTTGCGGCTGCGAAGGAGCTTACCTGGTTTGAAGCAGGCCGGTTTTGAGTGGGCTGAGGAGTTAGCGGGAGTCTTTGCGAAGATAGGATTCACCCGGTCCAAGGTGGACCAGGCAGTGTACTACAGGCGGGCACCGGGAGAACACGTCGTCATCACCGTTTCCGTGGACGACATGGCCGTCACCGCCAACAGCACCTCCCACATCACCCGTTTCAAGTCCCACCTCCGCGAATTCTTCGAAATCACGGACCTAAGCGAGCTAAGCTGGTTGTTAGGCCTAAAGGTAACACGAGACCGTGGTGCACGTACCTTGACCCTCTCGCAAAAAGCCTATGTCGACACGATCGTCGAACGCTTCTACATGGGAGACGCTAAGAGTGCGCAGACGCCAATGGAGCCAACACTTACCTTGTCCGTTGAGCAGGGACCTGCCACAGTGCAGGAGATCCAGGCCATGCGCGACGTGCCGTATCAGCGAGCCATTGGCTCGCTGATGTATGCAGCCACTAGCACCAGGCCTGATATAGCATTCCCCGTCGCGACGCTGTCGCAATTCATGCGCAATCCTGGTAGGCCCCACTGGGAGGCCACCAAAAGGGCGCTACAGTACCTCAAGGGAACGGGAGACTACGAGCTGACACTCGGTTCGACGGACGGCGGCCTTGAAGCCTTCGTGGATGCAGACTGGGCGTCCCAACCCCACCGACACTCGATGTCTGGGTATGTCGTTCTATTAAACGGGGGGCCAGTGGCATGGAGTGCCCGTAAGCAACCGCTGATCGCGCTATCCACGGCAGAGGCTGAGTATATCGCCCTGACCAGTGTGATACGCGAATTACTTTACCTTCAGTTGCTCATCGAAGAGCTCTACGACCCCGTCCCACATCCCATTCCCGTGTTCTGTGACAATCAAGCTGTGATAGCATTAGCATCCAATGGAAAGTTCCAGTCACGCACCAAGTACATCGACCTTCGATACCACTTCGTCCGCTCACACGTCAAGAACGGCACCTTCAAGTTATTCTACTGCCCCTCCGAGGACAACATCGCTGACGCCTTTACGAAGGCGCTCCCACGACCACGACTCCAGAAGTTGAGGATGCTGATGAGCGTGGCTTGCGCTCGAGGGGGAGTGTTGGAGTCCGAGGCCCAGGCCATATTGTAATATTCATACATTACTTACCCTACAGTAGTAGTAAAAGTGTAATACATTAATTGCTACATTGCATAGGTGTCCCTACAGCAGTAGCAAATGATGTATCACTGGTGAATCCAAGAGGGAAGCGTTTGTCTAGGCTATTCATGGTTCTCACGATCAATCTGTGGTTCTTTTTGATTGGTTCCTCCGTTCTTTTGGTTGTACCTTGGTTCTTCATATTTGTCAGCTGGTACTTTGATGTAATTCACACTTCTCTGTATTTGTCAGCCCCAACTTCCAGCACGCTGTGATATTTGTCAGCTGGTACTTAAATAGATTCATGCTTCTCTGTATTTGTCAGCCCTTCATGAACATTTGCAGTGCGATATAATTTTAATGCGCAGATATTGCCTTCTGTATATTTGTCAGCACCTGTACAGTTCTTCGGCAACTCGCGAAAGCACCAACTGCAGCGACCGACACGGTTAGCATTGAATATCATTTCCTCATCTCTGGATAAATTCGTTCTTTTTTCTTTGTTTTGTGCTGCGCAATATGTAGGATCGCTAGTCTGCTTTTATGCGGATGGTTCGCCAATGGCGCTATCTCAAGGTGCGTGCCATTTACTTATATTTTATTTTTGCCATGATCAAAAATTATCCCAGGCCTTCAGAAGATAGAGGCCAACTTTACCCGCATGTTGGTTAGAGCTTTCGGTGGAGCTTACGAGTTCCTTGGGTCCCGCACACTCACATGTTGACAGGCTAGGCCGGTCAATTTTTTTTAAAAAAGTATTCCAATATTAATTTTATTCCCGGCCTTCCAGAATCCTCCACCTCCCCTTCCGTTGTCCTCTCATCCTTCTCTCAATCGTTGGCGTTTTCACATTTTTCGGCGCGTTTCACTGAGGCGTTGGAGTGGGTAAACTTGGTCATTGTTGTTACGATGATGTAAGACTATGCTCTAAAGAGACTGATGACGACTAAGCTACCCTTAGTCCTTGCCTTCGGCTTCCCCTTGCCTCCTCTTGCCCTACTAACCCTCCTCCTTGCTCACCCACCCCTTGGGGGTGCCCCACTCCAGCGTTGTACGAGATGTTCTGTATGTAGTTTGTTGATGTATTTGGTGCTATTTGTCACCCGAATTCCATGGGGTCCTCCCGCCCTTGCTATTCCTGTATTACTGCGAGAGCGATGCCAGCGACTTAGAAATGCTTACAGGGTCCTTGTCTCACGCAAACAGCTGTAAGTGTGAAGCACCAAGACAATTCAAAATTCAATTTCACAATATGTATCATATACAATATATATTTAACCAATAGCGTTGGCAGCAGCCGCCCGAGTTGACTGGAATCGTTGACGTTTACTTCGACCCACAGTGGGAGTGTGTGACTCAACTACCTTGACACCTGCATGACCACCTCGGCTCTTTTTCTGACGCTTAGCAGGTGGTTCGATATCTATGTTGCTGGAATTCGGAGGGACAACTGAATCAGCTGGACTGGGAGTGATGACCACATTGGGTGTGGCAGAAGTAACTGGTGTGGTTTGGCTAGGCGTCATGGTAGCCACCATTCTGGCAGGGGTGATAGCTGCGGGAGCCGCTATGGCAGAGCTGGACATAGCGGGTTCAACCGTCCTGGTGGGGGTTGTGACTGGTATGGCGGGAGCCACTATAGCGGAGCTGGACATAGCGGGTTCAATTGTCCTGGTGGGGGTTGTGACTGGTATGGCGGGAGCCGCTATAGCGGAGCTGGACATAGCAGGTTCAATCGTCCTGGTGGGGGTTGTGACTGGTAGGGCGGGAGCCGCTATAGCGGAGCTGGACATAGCGGGTGTCATCGTCCTGGTGGGGGTGATGACTGGTATAGTGGAGATTGGCATGGCGGAAGCCGGTGTGGGAGAGCTCGTCTTGGAGGGAGTTGTAGCTGGTGTGGTGGAGCATGATACAGTGGGCGCAGAGGAAGTGGTTGGCGTGAGTGATGAGGACTCAAACTGATGACCAACATGAGCAGGCCCAGGGGAAGAGTGGCCGAACTGATAATGAATACGGGGAGGGGAACATAGCATCTCCGTCGCGGCACCCTGGGACTGCATGTCGTGTAAAGCATCCTCGAAAGAGTCAAGATTCGAATTCCCATCAAAAAACATGGAAATGGAGGGAGACGTGTCCTTTGCATATGGTAGAGGTGGAGGAGGGGAGGGAATGTACCCATCCGGCATAGGCAGAGTGGGCAAATCTGATTCGGAGCTGGTCTTGAAGCAGAAGACATCCGGATCAGGCCGCAAAGAAGGGATGTTTGGTGCCAATAAATTGTCCATTGTGGGAATATCGTCTGGAGCGGCGGAAAAGCGGAGTAGATCTTCACCCTCCAGACACTTGGCTGCCATTTCTTTCTGAAGAGTAGCCTCAGCTAAGCATTGTCAGCGCAATATAGAGAAATTGAACATAGAAAAACTTATGAAAAACATGAGAAACGAATTCATAGTAGGGTACCATGACATTGTCGTTAACTTTGCGAACGCCTGGTTGAAGCGATTGCCTAGCTTCGTTGATCCTACATGCAAGCTACTGACATCGATCGCGCCTTCGTTTGATGGGTCAGGCCCACCGAGCAGGACACTGAAAGTCCATCCTGTAGCCTCGTGGAGCTCTCCGAAGAACGTCGACAGAATTTCCGTAAGTCTCGGTACAATTCTGTCTTAAATCAGTGAAGTGTACAACGCAAAGAGAAGGACACTTACTCTTCAGTGGTTATGTCGGGTGGTTCTTTCCCCTTCGCTGCCTCAAGTCTTGCTTCCCTCATCTCTCTGGCAAGTTGCGATATTTCTTCCTTCACGTCGGCAGACTCGCTCTCCCAGCATTGCGCAACATGTTTGTGAATTACGCGAAGGTTTGCCTTCTTCGGTTCGGGGGGATTCGATTGTTCTTTCATGGCGTTAAGCTCATCTTTTATGCAAGGTTGGACTCGAGATGCATAATATTTCTTGGCGTAGACTTCGCTTTCTTTAAGGAGCCGTGTTCGGGATGTCGTGGGGCCTTTGACGATACTCTTGAGAAGTTTGTTGACAACGGAATTACCGGCACCGTTTGCTTTGCGCGCAGCTTTAGAATGACCATTGTCATTGCGCAATTTGACTATCAAACGCTGAACACAGGGTAAGTTCACAAATAACGCGTGTAAAAGCAGAAAACCAACCGTCTGAACTGCCGTCCTGATTTCAGCCTCCTGCGTCAACTGTTCTGGTGTCAGCGGCTGATCCATAGGGACAGCTGGATTCAGGGAAGCCCTTGGAGGCCACTGCTCCTCCCATTTTTCAAAGAATGGTGGCCAAAAGTTAGAGTAGTTGCCTTTTTTTTGACATTCAAGGTACTCGTCACGATATGTCAAGAGAAAAGATTGTTGGTCGGCAGTGAGCCAGGTACGTGGTGCCATCTGATATTGAATATTGAGCGTCATATTTTTATCTATAATTAATGACATACCTTTGAGCTCGTGATCGCCAAGTAGATGCTTAGACGCCTACAATGCACATTCGAGCGTGTATTCAAGTCGAGTTCAGACCCTTCCGTTTGTCTGTAGTCATGTTTTTTTTGACTGCGCTTGGCGCGGGACTTTCGATGGGATGGACATTGTACGAAGCGCGATCGAAGTGGAAGCCTAACATAGAAGTGCCTGGGATGGAAGGTGGCAGCACTTCGGCCTATAGTGACTAAGTGAGTACTCAGATCATACCAACAGTGAGTTTTTATGATACTCACCTGTATATACTGCCATGTTATGCCTGAGCACAAGTGTGGAATGTTGAACGTTCGAACATCAACGTTAACTCGCCCACACGTGAGAGACCGACCTGGATGAGTCAAACTTAGTAATGCAAGCGTCACTCGATCAATAAGGTCCTTACATGCTATGACAATGCTATGAAATGGTATCTTCTAGTTCATTCAGCAAATCGGCTGAAGTATGTATACTACCAGCAGTTCAGCGCTGCTAGCCCCTGCTTGACCTGCATAAATAATGTGAGTTTAGTTCACTGTAAAGCGTTCAAAATGAGTTTGAGTGTTAATGCGGTCCTACCATGATCGTGATTATCAGTGCTACAGGTCGAATTCAAGCTATTAAGGTCTGACAGATAATGTCCAACCTACTCCCCTACTCCAACGATCATTACCAGTCATTTGCCCATGTCTCACTACAATGAATAATGTAAGTTCACTCACTCCAGACGCACCTTGAGCCTTTAATACTATTGAATATTGAATTGCAATAGGTCAAATCTGTTAAGGTCTGACCAATAATGCGCAACTTAAACTGCGGTGAACATTTAGTGGTCACTCAGTCTCACAACGAGAAGACACATAAGTATCATCCTGTTGAGTATCATCTGAATCGTGCATGGCACTCACAACTAATTGTATCTATAGCATAGTTACTCAGTGCCATGAGCCAACATGTGCATTGAGGTTCACGATTAATACGGTCCGACGAATCGAAGCTTCTAAAGGTCACTCTTTGGTTTCCTCTTCTTTTCTCCTTACCAGACGCTTCACCATCCCTCACAGCTACCCTATGGCCCCTCCAATCAAACACAAAACTGCTGCCGCTAAGCTCAAAGCTTCAAGGGAAAAGTGTTCTCGGTACTATGCCAGGTGTGTAACTTCTGTTTTGTTAGCCCCCCAGTACCCCAAATGCTGATAAAAGACACAGGTGCCACGAATCGATTCTTGCGAAAAGGAGGGAGAAATACCACGCCGCCAAAAAGCATCAAGAAGACGAAGACGGCAAAGACGGCAGCGATGATGATCACGAGGAATCATTGTAAGTGCTAAATTTTAATGTTGTAGACGTGCTTATAGTATTGATATTAGAGAGACATTGGCCGAGTGCATTGCAGTAGTCAAATACGCCAAGGACGACTTCGTGCAATATATTCAACGATCTCCGCAAACATTCACCATAGGCGTCTTCGCCGAATACACTAAATCTATCCCCGATGCTCCTGGAAGCCATGGAGACAGAGAAATTTTCCAGCGTGCCATATCAAGCATCGAGGAGTTCCTTGCCAGGGGTACTCAAGGCCAGGATGGCATCCTTCAATTATGCGGGGTCTGTGACGAGTGGCGCGCGCTGCAGACCAAGTCTGCCGGAGTATGAAGGATACTATTGCGATGGTAGAAGATATTTACTGTCACGCGCTTCGTGATGGAGATGGGGAGTTAGCAGTAGTTCATTTGCTTGAAGGGTTCCTCTACCAGAACTACAGATAATATTAAATACTGACTATTGCTCTCGAAGTCTTCAAGCGGAGAGATACTCGTGCACTGGACGACTATGCAGATTCCTTCTGACAGCAACTAACATAATACATGCTCTGAATCACTACATGCTACAGTTACAATACCTGCATGGCATCACCACGGTCTATCGCGCTCCTCATGATGCTCATACCCTTCTCGATACTGTCCACCTTGTGAAAGATACCGTGGGAGACACCAAGCACTTTCGGACCAGTAGCATCCCTGCAATGAAGAAATTAGTATCAGAACACGGAACACGAAATTAAGAAGTTCACCAGCCTGAAAAGACGCCGATGTGTCGACCTCTGGAGATACAATAGAAGGGTGGCTCGGCATCGGCGGCGGGCACATTGAAGTATGTTCCACAGTAAAAATGCAATAGGGAGTCATCTGCAAGTGCTGCGGCCGCAGCGGCCACATCCTCGTCATCAGAGCCATTGTATTCGTCAAACTCGACCAAGATGGTGGTAGGGCCTGTGGGAGCGGCGGCAGTAGGAGCCGGGGAAGTAGGAACAGTAGGAGCAGCCATGGTAGGGGTGGAGGGAGCAGGAATGGGAACTTCCATACTGGTCACAGTAACAGCAGGTGAATTACCGGAGACCACGGGGGGAACAGGTAGTGGTGTCTCAGTGGTACCTACAATGTCGCCAAAGATATGTTAGTCATGGTAGTGTCAAGGAATGAAATGGAAGTGATTCACCATCAGGCGCGTCAATACCCAATCCCCTGGACAACGTGTCCCTATCTTCAAGGGAGAGACATCGCAGGAATTCGATAAGTCCGTCCAATCGGACAGACACCATTGTGTCTAGCTGACTGGATGAATGAGAGTTTTGGGTCATGACTTTGTGTTGTGGGTGATGTATCACTAGCACTCACCACAAGAGAATTTATCTAACTCCTAGAGGACCGCTAGGGACGGGGATTTACGATATAGAGGACCGCTAGGGACGGGGATTTACGATATGGAGGATCATTTGGGACTTCAAGAATCATAGCAGAGCCGCCGAGTTGCAGACTCTCGCAGACAAGAATAAACTAGTGAGTATTCTGAGGGAATTTCCCACAGTGACTGCTGACTAAGGTGGGCAAGCTCGACGATCTAGTGCCATTGTCCCTCATGATGAGGTTGCCTACTACTAAGTTTGGTCGACATCCCCGTCCCAGTACCAGAACCATCTCTGTGGTTCTTTCCCTGTTTTGCTCTTCTCGTGACTCAGTTTACGTCGGGCCATCCAAAACATGTGGCCTTTGATGTTCTATGGGGAAGGTGAGTATCTGTGCATGTTACATGGAGCGCTTACTTATTGCACGAAGGATCAGTATCTCCGCCATGAGCTTGGCACGCATGCTATCGCTCAACCAAATGCGAGCGTTCGATCCTGGCCACAACTTCTCGTGAAGCGGCCACACTCTATTGAAGTCAAAGAACATGGTCACCATGAACGCCCGGGTTTCCTCTGAGTTAGGAGCCCACTGCATATATCTTGGTATGTGATCGTTCAACCAAACCTTTTGAGCAGGCGTGAAAATTGGCCCGCTGCTGGGACTTTCATTATATCTGACTATATATGAACGCGCTTGCCGGGACACATGTGAGGAAGGCTGAGGACCGTCTAATTGTTTTCGTTTAGATGTCAATTAACAATACCGCAATCACAATTGCTCACTTGGGGAGGGCCGCACACGATGACCGGAAGGGGGAGGTCGTCAGTCGACAAGGGGCGATTCTCAGTCGATGAAGCTTGCATGAGGTGGGTACTAAAGAAGGGGGACCGTAGGAAGAGGGACTGTCCTTTTTTTTGGGATTCGCCAATTCCAAACGCGGAATTGTATTACTACCCGTGGAGTGTGACACTGACGCATTGAACTACAGTACGCATGCGTCGTCGTCGCGCCCCCAAGAGGCAGGCAATTGAACGTGAGCCCTTTGTCCCTCACTCCGCCAACCTCCAACGTCCCCTTGTACGAATTCGCGCAGCAGAGATCACAACCGACGGTAGCACACGGTTGCACACAAGCTACATTGAAGGAAAACTTCCTCACGATTTGCCTACTAACAACACGCATTTCATAGATGATGAGGTCGGGTATGCTGGTGACCTGGGCTTTGATTCTGGATCCATCATGGAAGATATCCCCTGTGATGCTCCTTTGGGCAAACGCAAACGCTTTGCAGCGGTGAGTAGTTTCTTTTTGTTTTTTGAGTCATGGTTACTCAGTAAACTCAAGGATGCACCCTTACTGGCCTGGATCCCAGAACGCCAAGACTTTGTTGATGAAATGATGCGTCTCAACGGGCGTGGATCAGAGGGCATCGGTTGTCAGTGCGGTGAGGTATCACCTCAATTCCGATGTTGCGACTGTTTTGGTGTTCAAATGTTCTGCCGTGCATGCACGCTCAGAAACCATGCTTATCTCCCTTTGCATAGGGTCGAGGTATGTCTCACACTTTAGCACTGGTGTCTTGCTGATCATATTTAGATGTGGAATGGGTCTTTCTTTCAACGCATCACACTTAAAAGCCTTGGAGTTCGCATCCAACTTGGCCATAACTCTGGCGACAAGTGTTACAACCCAGTTCCTTCTACTGGTGATGACTTTATTGTCATTGGACTAGATGGTATCCACGAGATCGCGCTGGACTTCTGTGGCTGCGCCTCAGCTCAGGTCTGGTACAAACAGCTACTACGCGTGCGGTGGTACCCTGCAACCATCTCAGAGCCTCGAACCGTGGCAACATTCACGGTTCTGCAAAATTTCCACCTTTTATCCTTCGAGAGCAAAGTTTCAGCATATGAATTTTATCATTCGCTTGCAAGACGTACCGACAATTCTGGCTTATCAAAGATCAAGGTGAGTATCATTTCCTCGTCTCTGGATCTATCTAACTACAATATGAAGGATCGCTACTCTGCTTTTATGCGAATGGTTCGCCAATGGCGCAATCTCAAGCAACTGGGCCGTGCAGGAAGGGGTCACGATCCCGCTGGAGTGGACGCTACAGCCGAAGGGGAGCTAGCAGTCCTGTGCCCCGCATGCCCACATCCTGGGAAGAATTTACCGCCAGACTGGGAGGAAGAGCCGCTCTTCGTTAGGTAAGATATCGGTTCATACTTTCGTCTTGAAGCTCACAGATTCTTACAGGTGGAAATATGCATTATTTGTGGCGATCGACGCAAATTTTCGGCTGAAGCGAAAGGCAGTGTCCTGTGACACTACCGATCCCAGCCTCAATCTCGGATGTGGTTATTTTGTCCGGGACAGTGCGTACAAGTCGTACCTTGCGGACCGAGCCGCAGAAAGACAAGAGGTAAGTAAGACCATTGTAGTGATTTTTCAATATCTCACTCTGTTTTTTAATGTAGTGAAGCACCTGCGTCAGCCATAACGCAGTCAATGCTGCCGATGTAAAATCTTCCCGGGGGCTAGCAGCCACGGGTGTTGGAACAATCGACTGTGCAAGACACGATATGAAACTTCCGAACGGCGTTGGAGACCTCCAGAAGGGGGAACGGTACGTACGGCACTGTCATATCTCTGTCTCCCAACCGCGACTGATGAAATTTGATTTTAGTTATATCAACATGGATTACATCGTATGTTCTGTGCTCCTCGCACTCACTATGACTATGATCAATATATCATATGATATCGCCTGCCAGTGACACAAGAAGCTATGGAATCGAATGGAGTCAATGCCGGAACATCTTCGCCTGCCTAGCGAATGCTCACTTATTCGATTCTTTGTCCCGAAATTTCACATCCAGGCTCACATTGAGAAGTGTCGAACTAATTTCTCATTCAATTGGTCGAGATACGTTGGCCGAACTGATGGCGAAGCACCCGAGCGTGGTTGGTCGAACATCAACCGAGTTGCATCAAGTACAAAAGAGATGGGGCCAGGAACGCGTCGAGATACCCTCGACGATCACTTTGGAGACTGGAATTGGAAAAAGGTCACGGTGTTAGGTGCGGTCCTCTTTTTTATGCACTTGCTAGTATTGACATGAAACTTTTAGGGCGAACAATGCTGAAGAAGATGGTTGAAGCTGTCAAGTGGGCGAGAGAGCATTCGGAAGCTCTCGCGGAGCTGGAGAAGACCATCCAGCCCGCTCTCATTGCTCAATGGAAGGCGGAAGTTGAAGCCTGGGAGGAGGACAACTCTTGTCCTAATTCCTTTGAAAGCCGCTTCTCTCGTAAGTGCTTTTGTCCATTGCTTAGTTGCTATTCTGAAAAACAGTAGCGGTCACACAGGCAGCTGTACGATTAGAACTCGCCGAGCTCGAAGCCCAGGAACTCCAAGCTGGGATTAACGTCTCACTTCACACTGATGTTTCCCCGAGCGGTTTAATTACGTTGGGTATAGATCTCGAAGATCAACAGTGCGTCTGGCTCTCTGCTTTCTTACTGCGTTGTTCTCATGAAAACACAGAGCACGTTTGAGATCGAAGTTTGCTGATGTCTCCCTCCACGACACTGACAAGCAAAAGGCAATGCTGCAGACCCAGGTCACCTCCCTCCAGCGACGACTCGAGGCCTGGGCTCGCATCCGGGAATTATATATGCCAGCTGTTTGTCAACTGCGCCATCAATCATCCGAAGCTACTGAGAGGGTGGAGGAACTGAAACCGCAAGACTTCGAGCTGTGGCTCCCATCACAGCTCCCAACTGAGACGCCTACAGACCAGAAGCTTGCTGGGTACGAGTGGGACTTGCGCTATGCACAAGCTCTTGACGCCCTCGACGATGTTCGCTCACACCTTCGCCTTCGATCCCACATTTATATGTACAAGGATAAGAACATTCGTGGTCAAGCGGGCTCCACCCGCGCGAAAAAAATTATTGACTCTGTCGAGTCGCGGAAACAAGCCAGCGTCCTCAAGTATAGACGTGCGCGGAATGCCCTGTTATCCCTTACGAGCCGTCTTGAGAGGTGTGGGTGGGAGACTGTTGTGCGCCCACTTTTGAATAGTGATGTCAGACCTATGGGCGACATGGAGCGACAAGGGACCGGGACTATTTCCTGGATCTGGTTAGAATCACATGCTGACAACAGTTGTACAGAGAACGAACGGGTGCAGGATTGTGAGTGTATCTCTGTCAAAATTTACATTTACTTGTATCTCATCCAGTATGACAGGTGTTCGCTTGGAGTGGTGCAAGGCTCGTGCTCGTAAGCACCGGTGGTCAGAGGAGGTAGAGCTGTTGTTAGAGGAGATGAGGCGTGTGTTAGTGTTTTTGAAATGGCAAGCGGCCTGGTGGAAGGGGCGCGAGACACTCCGGATGGTCGACTCGATGCCCACACAAGAAGGACTGACGGCGTATGCGTGCCGCCAGTCTGCATTGCGCGATTCGCTGACCGCCTCATTTCAAAGCTTATGGAGTGGGGTACCTGCCCTGATCACTGATGGGTTGGATATCATGGAGAGTGGAGAGGCGGATGGCCCTACCATAGATGCTCCTCCTCCGCAGTCACAGATGTTTTATAATTAGCGTGATAATGTAATCATTGAGGGGCAATAATAGTGTGATTAATGTGAGGGGCAAATGATGGGCAAGAAGTCTGGAGATGCACCCAGATCGCAGGCAATAGATCTTGATCATACAAACTTGTTGTAGACATAGATCTCGATCATATAGGCTTGGCGCAGACAGTAGGGGGGCTACGGTCATAGTAGAATGATGTATCACTCGGAGCTACAGATACTAGCAATTAATGTATAACAGTTTCGCTACAGCAGTAGCAAGTAATACATCAATACTACAGCTACAGGTGCGAGGCCGAAAGATCCGAGTCGAGGGAAGCCGAAGGATCCGAGATAGGTACGAGGGGGAGATGATAGGTACGAGCTCAAGCCGAAACGGACATAGGCGAGCGATGCATGACATCGGCTCGCGTCCTAGAATATTTTCAGTCTCTCTTTTATATATTCAAGTTCCTGACGCACTCACTATAAGACCAGTAGCAGTATCGTATATGCATCTCAGTTTCGTCCAAGACACTGAGATGTACGTTCTAAAAAGTCACCTAGAGTTTTATCATGTCTAACGTTAGCTGTAGCTTTTGTCGTTCTAGGTAGACGCACCGTTAATAGAGTTTCGTTCAAGACACTGAGATCTTTCTCGTTCTAGTTCTAGACTCCTCGTTGTTCCCGCGCTCGTCATAAACGCCTTTAGTCATCTCAATGACCAGTCTGAAGTTGTCAGCTTTACGCGGCGTGTCATACAGTCTTGTATCACCTTTCTTCGCATGTTCAAATGTTAAACAATACGTGATAAGTCGTGTAAGGCCACATGTGCGGCAGAGCCCGCTACTTTCTTTCGATTATCTTGCTTCATAGATTGTTTGTACTATATATTGATACTGTTGTGCTTTTGAAGATGTAAAACAAAGTTACACCGCAAGTGCCAGTTTGCGGTACGTCTGAATCGGAATTTCACGAAGTCCGAGTGAACTTCAATGCATCACAGTAACTGTAGAAAGAATAAGCTAATATTATGAGTACAGCCAGTAAACCTGAATCGGAACAAGTGGATTGAAGGTGTATTGCACAGGGGTTGTTGGGCAGCGTCGGTGACCGTTACATACTACGCGGTCTCTCAACCTCAGAAAAGGATTCAGAGTTTCGACTCATGACATAGCTAGTGTATGTTCGGCAGCCGTAAAATTTTCAATGCTGGTATTGATCCAATATAGAGAGCAAGTAGATAGCAAAATTACATCAAAAATATCAATCGCTTAGTATTGCCTGTACAACGTTCGCAACTCTCAGCTGCCGGAGGTCTGTATATGTCTTTTGAAAGCAGTCAGAATGGGGGCTATGTGTGAGTGGGAGAGATAAAAACCAACCTGGCCACATCCGACAAAAATAATTGGCTGGCCTGTCACATATGTCATCGAGAGCGCTGCACCAACCTATGCAGGAATGTTAGATGTCATTGCCGCAGCAAGCAAACCACGCACCTTGTCATCCACTGTGTCCCATTTGGTCACTAGCATGCCATCGATGCCACGCCCCTTGCCCGAGCCGGATGCAGACGAAAAGTCACGAAGGGCGCGGTCGAACTTAGTAAGCTGGTCGACGGCCTCGTTGCCAACGAGCGCCTCGCCGACAAAGATTATTTTGTCTGGGTTATTTGCGGAGACAAGCTGTGGAGTTCATTAGCGGAGTTCCAAGAAGTTTCCACGGGCGTATCATACCTTGGCAAGTGCACGCATGAGAGGCTAGCCGGAAATGATCCATCAGGATTGTGACAATGATAGTACCAGGTTGCATACCTCGTTGTCTTGCATGCGCCCAGCTGTGTCGATTAAGACCACATCAAAGTCATTATCTTTGGCTGGGTGCGGATTCGTGAGTTAAGAATGCACTTCGAAATATGGAAATTCCTTACCATATGCGATGGCTTCTTTAGCGATGCCCGCAGCATCCTTCCCGTACCCTTTCTCATAAAGTTCAACACGGCCTTTGCTATTCGTTGCGCCGTTGACGCCAAGCATAGAAAGATTGCGCACATGTACGCGAAGCTGTTCGACCGCACCGCTCCTACACGGTTGTTCAGAATAAGTGCAACTAGTATTACTAACCAGACACCCTTACCGGAAAGTGTCACAGGCTGCAATGAGCACTCGCATACCATTCTGGATGAGCCAGAAACAGACTTTTGACAAGTTTGTGCTCTTTCCTACGCCGTTCACGCCCACAAAAGTAATGCTATAAGGCATCCTTTGTTGAGCGGAAGGTAGGGGAGAAGAAAGTTTAGTCCTGATTGACAATAACAGGTCTGTTGAGGTCTTGGGCGTTAGAATACGCGTGAGCGAAGAGGACAGTGCCGTCCGAACAGCGTTGCTGGTGGCTGAATCTACGTCAGGATAGTTAAGGATACGAAACACGACATACTTTGGAATCCTCCCACTTTCTTCCCCACAAGACTCTCTCCGACACCTTCGCAGACCTTGTCTGCAATTTCCATGGCGACATTTTTCTTCATAAGGTGTTGTTTCATCCCCTCCAATACAGGCTTCAAATCCTGTTCGGTTAAAACTTTGGAGCCTGTCAAACGCGAGAACAATGAACTCAGAGCGCCCAATGAGCCTGTTGGCTGCTTTGCAGCCTCGTTCTTCAAAGCACGAGTGATAGCGCCATTCGCCTCGTCGTCCTTTCCACCAAAGTCCCAATCTTTTACTTCATAAAAGCCATCCCTTGTCCTAGTTCCGAGAGAAGCCTTGTCTACAAGGGCTTGCAGGTCGTGCGATAAATGACCACTTGTGCTGGAGTCAGGCTTGTCGATGCTAAAGTCCAAAGAGGCCATTTCTGTTTCCGACGGGGCCGATTCACCCCATTTCCGCTGCGCCTTCCCTTTCGCCCTTTTGCTCGTTGACTCGGAGCTGTATGACATAAAACATTGGTTTGAATTATAATGATCTGTACACTTACTCTGAAGTTGGCATGCTGTCCCGGCCACTTTCCGAGTCCACTCTCGTCGCACCTCGTCCTCCCCTCCGGCCACCCCGGCCACGCAGTCTATTCTTGAGTGCTTGTACATTCCGAGCTATCTGTTGCTCATCTTGCACTGCAATCGACGATTCGGAGGGAACTGAAGGCCGTTCATGTATATATCCGCAATGTATTAAATAGAAGACTCACCCGTACTGAGGTCATCGGAAGGAGGACTGGAGTCGGGCAGAGCTGGAGCCACTTGTCTATAGCGAGACTTCCGTTCCTGCAGGCTTAGTGTGAGTAAGTACGACGTATGTGCGAGAACAAGCACGCACCTGGGCAGCTTTGTCTTCAAATCCCTTCAAGAGCTTTTCGAAGACACCATCCCAGCCTTCAAATGCTTTTGCAAAGTTCCACGCCTTGGGAGAGTCGCGCGCAGCAGCTGACACGAGTTTCCCGCTTTTTATTGCGTGCAGCGAAGCAACGAAAGTAGCCAGGAATGGCTCGAATAGTTTTATAAACAGTGCTTTGAGAGCAGCTAGGAGATCATCCACATACGTTAGTTGAAGAATGCGGTGATATGCAACCTGCATTTCTGAATGTCAGTCGAGAGTTACTCCGGCAGCATGGACAGCGAACGTACCACAAAAATCAACTCCAGATCATTGAAGAATGTCCACTTCACTGCGTATCCGTCCTTCTCGTATTTCTCCTCGGCTGTCCGCCCTTCGATCAAGGCTTCACGTATGAGAGAATTTACGGGAGACGAAGGAGAAGAAGCCAAGTAAGATGCCTCTGGGGTAAAGGAGCGTGACCATAATACAATACCTCCTGCAACTGATGATGAGGTTCATCTGCTTCAAAACGATTATTAGACCGACCTTTGTGCGAGATTGAGCAATGGTCCAGCATGGTCGAAAGTAATGCCTACTTACTACGGACACCGCATCATAACTTCAATTGATTGCATAAGCAAAGTTTAGTCTTGGCGTGGGAAATTCACTTGTGCATCCATCGATGCATCGACGAGGAAGTTTGCGCCCCAACCTCGCCCAGCTCACTGCTCAACAGCAGCTAACTGGCTTCGACAACAGCCTGGAATATTCTGATCGGCGGGCCAATCCAAACGGCGGATAAGATGCAACTTGAAGTCGGTCTGTTTTTCGGCTTATAACTATAGCCTGCCTTTCTATCATGCTCATGCGAAATTCACCTCGTGCTTAGTATTTTTGTTATTGACGTTCTCATGGATCGCAGTACCTGCAGATAACGGGGATGTTTTGGGCTATCTCTGCGATCTGGTGTATGCATTTGCCGTGGACTTCATTTCTTGATCCAGCCTGATTACTGAAGGCCCTGCGTCACGTCCTGGTCAGTGTACATCCCATCCTGCGCACCGCTAGTTTCCAAGGTCAGCATTCATTGTCCGATGACACTATGCAAATGCTAACCAAACACCGTTAAGTCCACTCCTTTTCCTGATCTACGAGCTTGTTTTGCATGTGCTCATTCTAACATCTACTGGCAGGACTCCATATCACCAAGTCCAGCCATAAATAATAGTGCAAGGTACAGTACGTCGATAGGGATGCCACCTCCGCAGGCACCGTTGCCGTGATACGGTGGCGCCACGGGCTGATGTCATGCATGATGTATCATCCTCAAGCCCATTCTTGGCTTTCGCTATGCACCGCAGTGCCATGCTGGAGCGTGGAACTGGCAGCTATGGGCTTTTCTTTGCATAATTGGATAGGACAACCGTGCTGTAACCCATTTTAGGAACCGTGGTCACAGCAAGTTACTGAAGCAGCCCCTTTGCCGTTGATTGAATCGAGGCAGAAGATAGATTCGCCCGATTTTACCAACATCGCTATCACATGGTCATAAGTCGTGGAAACCATAATCCATCTACCAACTGTTGACTATGACCATGCGATGGGAGATGAGGGGCCTAGGAGTCACGTGATACAAACCTAGCAGTTCACTCCATGAACATCGCTATTGTATGGTCATAAGGTGGTATAGGATACATTGGATCTGACGCCGCTTTACTATGACCATACGATAGGAGACGAAGGGGCAAATATGCTTCGAGCACTTAGCTTCCTGCGTATCTCCTGGAGGCGATGTTGTTGTTATTCGGTGAATAAAGAAGCTTCCGCAAAGCTTGAATGACTGTTCATAGGCATATCCCCCATGGGTGTATGCTGGACTTTGGCGACACGGAGGGAGAACAACGCATTTAAGCTCGCCGCATAACTCCAGAGTCTAGAAGGTTGATTACCAGCACATAAATCCTCGTGGATGAATAATATGTACCAATATCAAAAATACGACTCCAAATAAAAGTTCAGTAAACATACATGAAAAATAATAATAACGTTAAACCTTCCTCCTAATCCCAATGTCCACACTAGGTCGTACAGGTCTCAACGGGGGTAAAGGCTGTGTATCCGCACCGTTACGAACGAGATCTGGCAGTGGGCGCGTCAGCGGGACAACGGAGAGTTCCCACAGATCAGCATATGCATTCTGCAAGGTCTCCACTGCGCGAGAAGGCTCCATGGGGTACGTATTTTGCATCAAGGGCGCGTAGTTAGTGTCGGTAGGAAGGGGGGATATAGATCTGTAGTCTTTCCGAGTATCGAACTTTCCTGTGTCACGGGACCAGAACTCTTGTGAGCTGCCAATACTGGATACCCTGCGCGCCATGTTGCCCATCGCCATGGATTCATCCGAACCCTGCTGACCTGAGCGCCGAAGAGGCTGCAACGATTTTTCTAAACTGAAACGCGTAGATTGCTCATCTGACCCTCCTATCCCCATCCCATCTAGGAGTTTCATATTCGACATGGCAGGACTCGTGTAATACGAGTCTTGTTGTAGTGGTAGAGGGACGTTATTGCGTGCCCATGAAGGAACGATTTCTACACCGGAATCTAGGCGGAGGACGGGCATCTCTCCGCGTTTAATGGTTTCTGCGAATTCGGAGGAGGGTGCGACATGTTTTCTGCGTCGACGGTAGAGGATGAGTCCGAGGACGAGCAATACTAGGACGACGACTCCACCGATAACGCCGCCTGCTATGGCGCCGGTATTGACATTTGTGGAGGAAGTTGCTAACGAGCTGGTCGTATTTCCCGATGATGTTGATGCTGCTGCAGCTGTTGTTGTTGTTGTTGTTGTTGTTGTTGATGATGATGATGATGATGTATTTTGTTCAGCAGAAGATTGGGGTGATGTCAGTGAGGTCACCACGGTTGTGGGGGTTGTGGAAGCTGATATTATAAGAGAGGTCCCGTTGATTGTAGAAGAAGTTACGATTATAGAAGAGGTCCCACCGGCGTCAGATGCAGGAGAGGGCCCAGCGGTGTCGGGTGTAGAAGAGGACCCGGTGGTAGTGGGTGATGGAGAAGAGGTGGGAGTACTAGTGCTGGCAGTTGGAAGGAAAGCGCCACCTGACCTGCTTTGGATTGGTCTACCCATCTTTCACTGCAGAGTCGACGACGAGAAGTTAATAGCGCGCGAGTTGTTATGCACGAATACACTGCTAAAACCCAACATATATTAAACACCCGTTCAAAGGCACCAAGCGAACACTCACAATCGACAAAGACCACCACAAATACAAGTACTGCCCTGCATCCAAAGTCAAGATGCTCAGTACGAACCCCAGTAGGCTGGTGGGAGGAAGAAACGATTAGCACCAGGGCAATCAAAAAAAAGAAGCAAGAGACAAAAAAGAAAAAGAAAGCGCTCAAGGGGGAAGTAAAAACAACCCGCTTTGACATGTGAGAGTGGCCCAACTCATCACATCAGACGTTTATCTGAGGCTGTACCAGATTCAGATGCGAGGTGACCGGCACGCGTGATCAGCTTCGCCTCTGTTACAAACGCTCCAGTACCCAAGGCTAAGAATAAGCAAGGTCAACCCGTTGGAGCTCCGCAAGTGAGATCAGCATCAGTTTTGCGGTGAGCTGACATATGCTTTCCATCGCTTTCCGTAGCTGTAGTACTATATGTACTAGTAGCCGGACACCTATCGGTATCCGGGCTTTTGCGTCTACCGTCAAAGCGTTCAAGATGAGAGTTGTACCTGTTCTCGTCAGCGCAGATAATTATGCATATCTCCTCATCGACGAGCCAACCAGGAAGGCGGCGGCGGTGGATGTATTAGACGTAGAAAAGGTACAGGCTGTAGCGGATAAAGAAGGCGTCAGCATCGTCGCTGGCATCACTACACATCACCATCAAGATCATAGTGGTGGAAACAAGGCATGTTTATTCCCGACATCACTGATGTTACTGGCCACTAACGGTTTAAATGTTATACTAGACACTGGTGTGTAACGTGCCCAATATGTACGATTGATGGTTTACCCTCGTTCCACGTAAGGTTTCTACGTATCCTAGTATCCCCGTTTATGGAGGTTTTGATGTGCCTTCTAAAACACACCTCGTCGAGGATGGTGGCGAGTTCACTGTCGGTGATAATATACATGTTCGGTGGGCCCATTAGACTTCGCCTGTTTCCTTTCATAGCTAAATGTCGACGACAGGTGCTTGGCAACCCCATGCCATACCAAGGATTCTATTTGCTTCCATGCAACGGACACATCGATCAAGTCTCAGTCCGGCGGTGTGTTCACTGGTGATACTCTTTTCTTAGGTATGTATGCGCTAGTAGTCCCGTAACTCGTCACATCCTTGACACCGCCCCAGGCGGGTGCGGTCGTTTCTTCGAAGGGACGGCAGAGCAAATGCACGCCTCCCTTTCGAAACTAGCGACGCTCCCAGACGACACGGTCGTATACAACGGTCACGAATATACAGCTGGCAATGTTGCGTTCGCGAAGACTATTGAGCCCGAGAACCCGGCCATTGACCGGCTTTTCAAGCTTGCACAGGAGAACAAGGTTACCACTGGTCTGTCGACGATCGGTGATGAGAAGGAGTGGAATGTGTTTATGCGTTTGGATAAAGTTGCGATAAAGTATGCAGTGTTTGTTGGTCATAGCCATGATGCTGATTTTTGTACAGGCAGGCTACTGGTGCAGAGGAACCTGGTGCAGTTATGAACAAGTTGCGTGAGTTGAAGAACAACTTTAGGGGGTGAGGAAGCACGTTTCTGTAGTTTGAGTCGACTGAGGAATAGGGATAGAGCAAGGCTTTAGTGCGGGTAGTAAGAACAGCAAAGTGTTTATTGATTGTCTGGCAGGGAACAAACTCAACAGATGTATTGATATAACATTGCAAAGCAGTGGGGAGTCCATGAGGCATTATTAATGATGGTCTCGTAAACATACATATAATTAACTCATTCCGACGAGTTTGAGCACCGCTGATCGGGCGTATGGAATGTATGATAGGTTATACCAGGTGTAGGCGAGGTATTCGATGACGACAAAAACTGATGAGATCAAAACGTTACGTGGGTCGGCAAGTTCCAGAGTTCTAGGGCTTACTGATGCATAGTACCTGGAGATAAGGGTTAGCGTAGTCTAGGTACAGGAAAGGGAGGACAAACCTCGTTCCTAAGTACGAAGGCACCGACGAAGACAAGGCCCACTGAGCCGAGGAATACGATTGTGGCGATAATTCGTACGGGTTTAAACATCTATAGGGAAAGTGTTTGAGTTGTGCTAGGTAGAAGACATGAAACGTACAAGCTTAAATTGGGAGGCAAACTAGGAGACGTCAGTGTCAATGATAGCAATACGAGGGGGGAGGACTGACTCCAATGACGAAACCGGTGCCCACGAGGGACACCATGATACCAATAGTGTACAAAACTTTTGAAAGAGGTTGTCGTAGTGGTACTTGGATAAAGAATGGGTGAAACGGACCTGCAAAACTACCGAGCTGACCCAAGAAAAGCAATATGCTGCCTAGTAAACTAAGTGCGAACCCTATGATGAGACTGGGAAAGGTTCAGCTACGGATAGTAAATGGAAAGTTAGAGCATGCACCAGCCAACAAAGCCGTATAATCTTTGTGTACGTGTTAAGCCGAGGAACTTGAAAGCAGAGTCGCCCTCAAAAAACTGAGTCTCGGGGATCATGCCACCCGCGGATTCGAGGTTGAACCATCCTTTGGAGGGCATTTTGGATTAGGGTGATGTTGAGGTTGAAGCTAAGGGTTTAGAGGTGTTTGAGGCCCGCGCAGCTTTCTCACGGTTAGGGAACTGGTAATAAGTCACTCAGATCTGATACATATGTCCTCCTTACGTAGACGAGGCTTCATATTCATTCAGATTGCTCCTCGTGTAGCTATAGATATTCTAACATCACCCATTGGACCATCAGATGAAGTATATTTTTATTGGTACTGCAATTGGGAATGATACGAGAGGAGGCTATCCATTATATTACTTACGGAGTTGTTCAGTTGGTGTTTATTTGGATAACGCGCCTCGTGTGTTCAACGAGGCCGACTGAGTTCAGTTTTTTTGTTCAACGAACGATTCTCTTCTAGCTGGGTTGATAATGGAACAGTCCAATCTTCATGACAAGCTTTTCTCAAGAGGAAGCGCAACTCCTCCTCCTCCTCCTCCAACTTATCTTGATTCATTGTTTCAATCTGCCACATCTCACGGAAATTCAGCCCCTACTACTCCAAGCATGGATGATACTTCAGCTCCAGCTGTCTCTACATCTCCAGCTGATAGGCAGAGCGCTCTCCTTTCCTTGTTATATCCTGCCGCAACTTCAATACCTGCTATCAGACCACTTCAACAGTCTCCTCCTGCTTCTTCCATAAGATCAGGTCAATCACCCTCAAATAACAGTGAAACTCAAGGAAAGATCCTCCTGGAACAGCTCATGGGGTCAGTCAACTTTCATTCTTGCCTCACTTCATACACGAGGCTCTTTTAAAAATCCTTTTATTCCATTTCTTTTCATTCCGCCTCCCATTTCTTTCTACCATGACCTCTTGGGATTTCCTTGATACATTTTATGCTGATCTTTATGATAGTACCGCCTCCCGCTCCAATTTTTCAGAGCCTGCTCCACAACCAATGTCGACTTTACCCCCTGCCGCTAGTCCCCAGTTTCAGTCCTCTATAGGACAGTCGTCCATGGCCCAGTCTTCTATCGGAGACACCTACCATCTTAATGAGGGCCCTTACATTCAACAAGAGCAGCCAAGGGATACACAACCCCCCATCCCCCAGCCTCAACAGCCCCAGCAGCTCACCCCCTCTCCCCGCAAGTCCATGTTTGAATTTGTTTCTCCTTTCGATGCTCTTGACTCCACCTCAACCGTCAAGAAGAAACCTGTTATCGCAGGTCCCGCAAGTGCATCCAGCACAAACGAGGACTCCTGGACATCCGCTTCCCTGGGCTCTCTCAATGACCCAAAGCGCAAGTCTGTCGAGAACCTAATGGACCAGTTGACTAGGTCCCAGCAGTCCTACCCCCCTGCACAGCCTCCATCCCCTGCCTATGACCCTTATAGCACTACAGACGAGTATTCCCAGGTTGAATCACAGCCGACCCCTCAGCAGCAACCCCTCCAACCTCGTACCATGCCCCCGCCCCCTCCTCTTCCTCCCAAACCTGGCCGTGTGTCTCCCCCTAGGGGCTCTCCTCCGAAGCCTGCTCCACAGCAGCCGCGTCCACAGCCACGCCCTGTCGAGTCACCTCTCGGTCAGGCTCCCACTCCACCTGCGAGGCGAGACAAGGATGGATCACCCGGTCCTCGCAACACCTGGAAGAACGAATCCAGGGCCAAAGGTACTGCTAAAGGAAAGCCACAGACGAGTCCGAGGCAAGCTTTTCACATTTTCAACATGTGCCTTCACTCATTCCTTTTTAGCTCGCAACCTCAAACTATCGTATTCGACGTATCACAGCCGCTGGACGATGTGCAGGCTCCTAGGGATGCCGTGAAATCTACTGCAATTGCTCTGGTCAAGCAGGACTCTGTATTCTTACCTGGTACGACCATCGGCGCTACTCATTGGATTGCGTATGCCATGACCAAGGGTCGTGTTCGTGTTATCTCGCGGTCGAGTGGTGATCGCACTCTGCTTCAGCTGCCGACAGTCTTTGCACCTTCCACCTCGGTCATTGATATGGCTGTGTATGGTAACAGGCTCGCAGGTGTCACTTCCGATGGCGGGTTTGTCGTGTGGGAACTGCCTGAGGTTATCACCGATGATGTACCGTGAGTATCTCGGTGCTCAACATATTCCTGGTCTAATAATATTTGCAGCGGGCGACTCTTGTTGTGCATCGTCCCCAGCGCTGACGCTGACCCTCTTCACTCCGTAAAATGGCATCCCAAGCAACCCGACACTCTGGCAGTGGCTTCGGAGACCAAAATGTATTTACTTGATCTAGCAGACGCCGCGCGTACTTTTAGAGGAGAGCCTTTGCCACAAGTTGAATTGAACCGTATTTCTCAAGTGTTTTCCGTGCCATCGGTCAGTCCATTGCTTCATTTTTTGGTGTGTCCTTATCTTTCGTAACAGCGCTTGGTCG